GATACATTCCAAATTTTGCTACAGTTGCAGAACCCTTAAGACGATTAGTGCGAAACGATTCTAAATTCCATTGGGGAGCTGAAAAAGAAAATAGCTCTGTAAAACTTACAGAATGCTTAACTAATGAAACATGTTTAGGCTATTTCAGGTTGGATGCAGAAAGTACTCAATTGGTGACAGACGCAAGCAATGTAGGCATTGGTGGAGTTTTACTTCAGAAACATGATGGTGAAACCAGAGTTATAAGTTATGCCAGCCGGACCCTATCCGATGCTGAAAAGAAATATTCAACAACGGAAAAAGAGGCATTAGCAGTGGTGTGGGCTATGGAGAGGTTTCATGTTTATTTATATGGACTTGATTTTGACCTAATTACCGACCATAAACCACTAGAAGGCCTGTATGGACCAAAGTCCAAACCAAATGCACGGATTGAAAGGTGGGTGATGAGACTTATGTCTTATTCTTGATATTTTATCGAGACTACCAATAGAAACTGATGACCAACAAAATAATGACAGTGATGATACAGAAATGTATATTCGATTGGTCGCATCAAATGCAACGCCATGTGTTCTATCATCACGTGAGGTTGAAGAGGCATCCAAAGATGATCCAGAATTGAGCAAGGTGAGAGATAGTGTAAAGACAAACAAATGGGATAAGGACTTGATTCAGTATACTGCCATACAACAGGAACTTGCATGTCTTGGGTATTTAGTTCTTCGAAACACAAGGCTTGTTATTCCATCAAAATATAGATTGCAGTGCATTGAATTAGCACATCAAGGTCATTTAGGAATAGTGAAGACCAAACAAAGGCTCAGAACCAAGGTTTGGTGGCCTGGAATGGCGAAAGATGTAGAAAACTATGTTAAAACATGTCATGGGTGTCAGATAACAAGTTAGATGCCAGCACCAGAACCATTGAAACCAACACAACTACCAACAGGACCATGGAAAGACATTTCAGCTGGGACCATTTCCATCGAATGAAAATGTACTAGTTGTGGTAGATTATTATAGCCGTTATTATGAAATTAACATAATGAAGAAGATTACAAGCGAGAAAATCATAGACGCCCTAGAGAATATATTTCTTCAACATGGCTTACCACAATCAATTACCTCAGATAATGGTGCGCAGTTTGTTTCTGATGAGTTTGAGACCTATCTGAAAGAGAATGGAATCAAACATAGACGCGTCACACCATTACATCCTGCTGCAAATGGAGAGGTGGAGCCACAGAACAGATCTATAATGAAACGAATTCGCATTGCGCAAGCTGAAGGAAAAGACTGGAAGAAAGAATTACGTGTGTATTTATTTGCATACCGTACAACCCCACACAGTGTTACTGGACAGACCCCAGCGGAAATGATGTGGAATAGAAAATTGCGAATTACCAGAATTGGAGGATAATACTGTACAGGATGAAGATGTTTCAGATCGCGACGCTGTATCAAAATTAAAACACAAATTATACATTATGAGAAAAGAGGTGCGAAAGCGAGAGAGATGTGTGAAGGAGATAAGGTTTTAGTTAAAAAGACACAAGGAGACAAAATGAGTACACCATATCACACAGAACCATTCAAAGTAATAGAGAAAAGGGGAAATAGTGTAGTGGTTGAGTCACCACAAGTTATAAGATATAAAAGAAATTCGACACATGTTCAATCTTATAATGAAAGAGTAGACGAAGAAAATGGTAACAAAATACCAAATAATAATCTGAAACAAATGGATAATGATGAAGTTAATTTGTGATAACAGTAAGACAGATACATTTAAACAACATAAGCAAATTGACACAGAGAAAGATGACAGTGTAACCAACTGTGAAAATATTCAAAACAGACCAGTAAGAGAGAGGAAAAAACCCAAAAGGTTTGATGATTGTTGAGGATTAAGAAGTCACAGTTCATATTGATGAGTTGTTTTTAGTTTTACTAGAATTTGAGAATTCTCTTCAAATGTTGAAAACTGTTATTGTTGTTATACAGTGTTATTTATTGATACTAAAATATTTTAAAATGATAAGGAATGATAGAAAATGAAAAAATAATATGTGATTTTTTTTAAAAAGCAAAGATATAATCATTTAAAATTGTAATATTACGATGATGTTTATTATTGTTAAAGTTAAAAAAAAGAAGAAAACTGACAGTGTTTTAGGCAGTGAGAAAGAAACAAATACAGTAATCTTCAGTATCATAACAAATGAAACCTAGTCAAAACATGTAATTCCACAAGCTTATATTAAGAAATTATTATTGTGTACAATATATTTATATGGATTCAATTGGGTGATTTTGATGTTAAAGAAGGGGGAAGATGTAGTGTCTGGATTACTAGACTAGTTGTTAAATCAGGACTGGTGGATGAATAAACAACGAATGGCTATTGTAGAGCTGGAATATTGTTTATTGTGTCATTTAATTGTGTTTGTTTGTATACGATAGCAACACACAACAGGTGTTTTTGTTTTTTGTATTTCTAATTTATCTTTAAATTTGGCTTTATTGTACTTGCCTCATTTTGGCCCCTCTCTATTTTGTAACAAGCATCTTCAGGCTTCATGAGGGTTCCTTTTTTGTCTTGCTCATTTATTCTTGTCTGTTAATCTTGTATGAGTCATAGATAAACCCTTCAAGTATTCCAAAATAATCAACCATTGAATAACCAACCATTTTAGTGACATATTGTCATTAGGCCCCATAAAAAAATATTAGTTTATCACCCAATCAAAGAATAAAAACTGATGAGGGAGGAGGGAGGGAGGGAGGGAGGAAGTTTTTTTTTTTTGCTAACCCCGCCCCCATTTAACCGATGTTCACAAGTTAATCAATGGTTAGGGACACGTATATAAAAGGTCATAAGAATGGTATCAAATTTATATTTAAAAATATATTTTTGTTGTACCAGTAAACATATTTGCAAGAAATCCTGAGCTTTTCAAGTGAAAAAGACAATTATTGTCAGCAAATACCCGGTATTATACCGGGTACGGTACATAAACAAAAATAGTAGTTTTAGTACAGTTTCAATGTAATTTATGTTTAATTTGAGTACCCGAATTACTCTGTGCACAAACATTTCATTACTTAATCGAAAGTCCGTATTTTTTTAAGGAAGTGGATATATTTACGTCGCCGTAAACAAATCAGTAAACGATATATTTACGTAAATGAAACAACGCATGTACAGTCATACTTTAATAAACTTGCATTATCGGTCACGTCAATTTATCGATTCACGTTAAATGTACGTTAACGCGGAGTTCAACTTTCAGACTCAAAATTAGCATCGGATTTTTGCTGAATGCCGGCCTGCTCTCCACCCCTCTAATTTTTTCAAAATAAAAAAAAAAAAAGAAGAAAGGCCCAATTTCTACTCAAATTTTGAGTCTAAAGTTCTCGGGTCTGTGTAAGTTAAACGCAGACGCGATGGTGTGCTTCGGAAGCGGTCGCGTCGTAGAATATTAAACATGTTTTTAAACATTTCGTTGAGAAATATTAAAATATTTTTCTCACGACGGCTAAAGACTGTCCCCGACGATGAATCGCGTCAGGCTGCGTCGTACGATGCTGTCTGATTTGGCCTTTAGAGTGCCATAATCATAAAGTTTTTTCCCACAGCCCCAAGCCATGGTCGGGCCGAGTTTTTATAGACCCTCCAACTGTTGAAAGTCCCTCTCTCTGGCACCCCTCCCCCCCCCCACTCTATTTTAAATTACTGGATCTGCCACTGCGACCCACTGAACCACCGGTCGTTATTGTTTCATTAATGATAATGAGTAATGGTAATAACAAATTATTAAACTATTGTATCCAAAACGAGGCCAAGTGGAGCATCTTAATCAAAAATAAAGTACCAAGGAATGAAAATTAATAACGTGTAAATTACACCCAAACACCGCAATTACTCATTATCATTAATGAAATAATAGTCAGTCAGAGGGCTTATTAATATGTAATAATATGTATATTAAGCCTGAAGGTGGCGCTTTACTACGACGGCCATCTTGGATGGTACCATAGAGCTATTAAACAACTAGAGTGCTGACAAGATGGCGGAGCAATGCAGAGTTGTGTATGTGTACCATCCAAGATGGCTGCCGTAGGAAAGCGCCACCTTCAGGCTTAGTATACATATTATTACCATAAATAAGCCCTCTGACTGAATATTATTTCATTAATGATAACTAGTATTGATAATGACAAATTATTAAACTGTCGTAGCCAAAAAGAGGCCAAGTAGAGCATCTTATTCAAATATTAAAAAGAATTCTATGGCAGCCATCTTGGATGGTGCACACACACAGCTCTGCGTATTTCGAACATCGAATACATTGCTGTTAGCGCTCTAGTATTCTTATTATATCTCTATGGATGGTACACATACATAACTCTGCATTGCTGCGCCATCTTGTCAGCACTCTAGTTGTTTAATAGCTCTATGGGGTAACTAGCTGTACTGAACTTTCTGTGTAAATTGAGGGCGCAATTGCAAACGACGGCGCTTAGGCGAAATTTGATTGGCTGAATCTATGGCAGCCATCTTGGATGGTACACACACACAGCTCTGCGTATTTCGAACATCGAATACATTGCTGTTAGCGCTCTTGTATTCTTATTATATCTCTATGTGGTAAATCCGGTTTAGGCATGATGGGTACTACCACCACGAGGTAGGGGGTGTTCTATTGACAATCAAATAGCGTTAGGAACGCCTTTTAACGTCATTTTAAGGACGCCCTCTAGAACGTGGTAGCATTCTTCGTGATCAACGACATAACTTAGTAACTCCAAGAATTATCAGAGTTACTCATTTTTTTAGTGTAATAGTAGTAGGCCTATACAGAATATTGTTATGAAAGAAAATTTTTATGAAAAATCCAGATACACTACAATAATATGAATACACACATCTGCATATTGAGGAACATAAGATAAAATTAAAAAAACAAAAACTCGTAAGGCAGTAGACACACGCTCCCGCTAGCTGGGAGCCTACTTTTATTTTGTGGATGCGGAAGTTTCTTGATGACATCAAAGATAACCCTTGGTTGAACATGAAGTAAAGTTTAGCTGACATGGTTATAGAGATGGGAATTACTTTTGCTCTGTACACTAATATTATTTTCTGAGACATTTTACACTACGTAAGTAAATTAGTTAATGCAGTTTGTTATTTTACTAAGCGTAGGCCTAGGCCCTAGTTGTATCCCATCACTTCACAGTGTTTTGCTGTGTGGAAAAACTGAATGAAACAACCTGGGTGCCAGTGTTTTACTGTATGTAGGCAAGGTCCAGCTAGGCAGGCCCAGTTGTGAAAAGCCTAGCTTAGGCTAGGCCTAGAGGTTCAGGGAAGTAGGGCAGAATCTCGGCTTGGCCTAAACTAGCTAGGTTGGGGAGAGGTTTAACCACTTGTAATTTCACAGTGACAGGTTCAGTGCGAAAAATATTCGTGAACCCTTTTTATTTTAGTGTATCCATGTCCATTAATACTTCATCAATCAACTATTGTAGTAGGGACAGAAATGGTGAAAATGAAGTTAGTCAAATCATCTCTGTTTGGATTATGACCGGTTGAGCCGCCGACAAGTTGAGCCGCCGGTCATTTCTATGGAACGCCAAGCGCGTCTCTCAGTGAATGTAGTGCGTTAATTGCGGCGTATTTCAATTAACTTATTCGTTCTTGGTTGTTTGGGATGTATTTCAGTTTATTTACTCAATTATTTCAATTTATTTAATACTCGGTTTTTGCACTGATTTATTAAATATTTATTGGGACGTATTTCAATTTATTTACTTGTTCTTTCTATCGTTTTAATTTAAATTTTGTGAGTATTTGCCCAGTCAGCTTGCCAGATAGTAAAAAAAAACACTATTACTTTCTTATCATTTATTATATATAAGTTTAACAAATAGTACAAAAATAAAAATATATAAATTAAAAAACCATAGTAAATACTGTATAAGAACATAGGCCTCACACATTTAAATTTATTGTTTATAGTCATCTGTCAAATTCAGTCGGCTTGCCAGATAGTTAAAAAAAAAAACTCCATACATTCTTATCATTTATTATATATAATGATATATAATAAAAATAATTTAACAAAATAGTACAAATAACGAATAAGTTAACTGAAATACGCTGCAAACCAAACGTAAAAAATAATCAAGTTATTACATTTTTAATACGATTTTGTATGACTATAAACAATAAATTTAAATGTGTACATCATAAAATTACATTTTTAATACGATTTTGCAATTGTACAACTTCATATAACCGAAAGGTCCACTGATTAATCTCAGATAAGAAAGTATAATACATACTCCAAGTATTGAAATACACACCATCGTGTTGGGATTCAATATTTCGACATTAATTATGTCATCATCCGGAATGCATTCCTGATGATGACATAATTAATGTCGAAATATTGAATCCCAACACGATGGCGTGTATTTCAATACTTGGAGTATGTATTATACAACTTCATATATTTTTATAAAAATGTAGTACATAAAAACAAGGTAATTCAACAAAAGGACGCACATCTCGGGACATCAAAGGTTATAACTCTGGCATCGACATTCTAGGCGCACGTGCGTCCCTACACGCTGAACGTCACAAAAACCATAGCAACCAGACCATAAACCGTCAGCGTACGTGACGATTTTCCCACGCGCGTGTTAGTTGCCATGTTAGTCGCGCGTCGTGCGGTGATTACAAAGTCCTAATGATATTTTGCACTAACATTAGACTGAAATATATTCTTCATTTCAACATTAATTTTACCAAAATTGTGGTGAATTGTCGTTCATGAGACTCACTTCGCAGAAAAAATTAATAAATGTTCCGTAAATACTCAAATGTTCATCCTTGGCACCTTATGCCAACATTGTCAAAATGACAGATTAATGTTACATAAGAACATGAAATTTTATAAAATTCGTAAATTTTGAATTGCTATAACTTTTCATTTTCTTGGTCAATTTTCACAAATCAAATTGCAGTTTATAGAAGCATTTAACAAGCTCGCGGTCAAAAAAAAATCAAATGTAACAGACATTGCGAAGTACCCAAAATTAATAAAACAAAAACTAACACCATTAAACGAATGGCACGCATAGACTAATAATTGACGGCTGTACTCGCAACTAGTATCGGATTGTCGATGCCACAGTAAAGATCAAAGGACTGTACGCACGCGCTATGTTCGAGAGCGGAGATGTGCGTCCTTTTGTTGAATTACCTTGATAAAAATATCAAAATTCTAATTTTCAATTACACAGTTATACATCACGAACGGCAATACGAGCAAATCAAAGACTGTGGGATGAATATGTAGCTGGTATCTGGGGGGTTCATTCACTGATGACATTGGCAAGCCGACTACATTCACTGAGAGACGCACTACATTCACTGAGAGACGCGCTTGGCATTCCATAGAAATGACCGGCAGCTCAACTTGTCGGCGGCTCAACCGGACATATCCCCTCTGTTTTAGGTTTATAGTAAGCAGCAACAAATTAGAAACACAACAACACCTCATTCATTCAAATCGATCAACTATAAATCAAGATATAGGTTTTTAAGTATTTTTTTCCGCATGACTGAAGTATTACTTTACAATAGGAAAGTTGGTAATTCTAAGGACCAACATTCTTGTTATTTGCATTAATAAACACACAAACAAAATAGTAAACAAAATGAAACAGCAATAACTCACTATATATCCATGGTATGATGTGTTTATTTTTGTCGGAACATAAACCAAAATGGACAAACCAGAATGGATTGTTAAATGTTGATAATTAGTAAGCGTTACAATGCCGTTGCCATGGAAACAAAGGTAAATAACAATATAAATATATTTTTAATAATTCTGTACTTAAAGAGTATTGATTTAGTGACCTATTTATTTTATTTTACAGGTATCTGACAATACGTGCAAAATTTTCACATTCATAACTACGCAAATCTATGAGAAAATTAAGATTTAATTTGTTTACTGCTTCTACGTTCTGTAAACAAAAGTGTAAACAAATTAAAACGTCTATATCTAATGAACTATTTATCATATGAAGCTGATCTTTGGTGCAATTATCAATTTAGGTACAGGGGACAAAATGCAACCAGTATCAAGTGGAATTATGCAAGTATAAACAAAGTGAAGTTACCATGTCAACAACAGACAACAACGATGTAAACAAAATTGTTTATATATGCCGTAGATACAGAGGAATAACTGAAAAATCATGCAATTTTCATACAATTTCTGCTCCACATGTCCTAATCAACAGCCCTTGATTGATTTATGCTTATACCTCATCCATTTTACCACTTAATGGACATTAAAGTTGTTTACTTCAATTTTAAGTATTATTTATATAACAAACAAAAGTGTAAACAAATTAAAATGTCTATATCTAACAAACTATTTATCATATGAACTTGATCTTATGTATATGTCCAGTGCTGATTTTTAAGTGCCACAAGTTCTACCTTGTCTTTCTTCTTAAGCTTTTCAATGAGCTGTTTTATTGTTTGTTTTAACTTTAAATTTGATCTTGCTGTAATTCTATTACCTGTTTGAGTTCGTCAACTGTTGTTGCATGGCAATTTTTCTGGGAACTTCTCTTTCTTCCAATCGAGCACATTTTGTCCTCAGCTTATCAAAGTCAGCTTGGAAAGCACGCTTTCCATCCTTTACTTTTTTTATATGTTTCTCTTTTCTAGTCATATCTTTGCTCATGTGTTTTAGAGCAGCCTTATGTTTTGATATTGTTGCTAAGTGGATCCGTTCTCTTCACTATTGGTAGCTTGCTTATGTGGTGAAGGTCTAAGTTTTAGCGTTTCATTTTCAGCCTTTAAGGTACAAACTTCTTTTGCAAGACTTTCATTCGTCGATTGCAGAACATCACTTGATCTTGGTCATATTGGCCCAGTGGTAGTTGGTAATAAATATTCTGACTCCTCCCAATCTTTCAGTTCCAATTTATTTCCACTGTTGCGTACTTTTTCTCTTCGTGTTTTTGTCAGTTTGGTCCATTGAGCAGATAAATTTGATATGCTTGGCATGTCATTACAGTCCACCAATTGGGTCATCCACTGCTGAATGTCTTTCCATGTTGCCGATGCCTCCTTTTTCAGCTGTTGTAGTTGATACACATGTTTGTTAGCAACTTCTCAGGTTTTTGCTGGAGATGCCCAGCAACCAAATCCTGTAGTTGCTGCTCTGTTAAACATGGTGCTGGCCCAGGGTTTGATTCAACGTCTCCACTCAGCAGCAGTGATACAACAGGCTTTGTTTCATGTACATCTATAATTTTGTTGAGATGGTCGGCAGTGCCATGCCATGATATACATAAGGCATACAACAAGGTACATTGAAAGAAAAGTGGGCCCTGGCAGAGAAAAAGTACCGATGCGCTGTCTCCCCGCCTCCAAAGAAACACCTATGGTGGCTTCTGTATTTGAAAAATAAAACAGAATGTTATCATTATTATATAATAATTAACAGATAATACCTGAATATAAAACAAGACTGCCAAATCTAAGTAAATTAAAAATATTTGTTAATATATATATATATTATATAATATATATATATATATATATATATATATATATCCTAGGCCTATAGTCACCGGTCACAGAGGCTTATGCAAGGAATCACAACGCGGCGTCTTCCGCATGATCCAGGCCTCTGACAGTACCCACCGACCCGTACACGGTGTACTGCCATAGCTAGTTTTAAATGTAGTTGCGTCAAGTTGCGTCAACTCGTACCAACTCCTTATACCTTAAAAATATGTTTAAGCGTACTTACGTCATTCTTTTATGAAGAAATCGGAGAAAAATTAAGCGATTTCAATCGGGTTTTTTTTAACAATTCGGAAAATATTTTAAGCTAACAATCGTGAGTGTGGTTCGTCAATACCCACAATTCCGAGTGCGAAAAAAAGCTTACCACCGACCCGATCCAATCAGAGCGCCGCTTCCAAAAGTTGTTGGGCAAAAGTGTTATGCGCAGTAGACGATGCGCAGTCGACCATTTCGGTCCCTAATTGTAGTGCAAGGCACACAACCCAACCAGCAGGAAACATAATCTCTCGGTTTACTAACCACACGGACCACACAACA